ACTGTTAGCTTTCAAATATCATAATAGTATTTAGTAAATTTAAATTCTTAGCCATACTGTTCAGTCTCTACAATGCACTAGTAATGTTCTAGATAATAATAAATCATGTCTTAAGGAAGTATATTGGCTACTTTATAGTAGTATACCTTAATAACATCTTTATTTTCTTTAAGAATATTAATGAGCACTACTAACACCTTAACCTGGTCCTCACTACCTTAAAAGAATATCAACTATACACCAAAGTGTCAAAATATAAATTTACTATAGAGAAACTAGAGTTTTATAGATATATTATTAAAAGGGGCTAAATATCACCTATACCTAAGAAGGTTAAAGTAGTATTAAACTGGCTAAGGCCTTAAAATGTCTATAAGGTTTATTAATTCCTAGGATTAGCTACTTACTATTAATAATTTATATAGGGGTTTATATATATTACTACACCCCTATATAACCTACTAAAGAAATTAAATACTAAATTATATATAAAGAAATTTTAACTTATTATATAGACTATATTATATAAGGCTGCCTTTTAAGTAGTAAAGAAAGCCCTAATAACTACTCTAATACTCTATTTACTAGATTATAAGAAGGAGTTTTATATTAAAATAGATACCTCTAAATAAGTTATTAGTATAGTTCTTCTATAGATAGTAGAAGATAGTGCTAATTACTCTATTATATTTAATAGATAAAAGCTATCTCCTATAGAGTAAAACTACTTAATATAGGAGAAAAAGCTACTAGTAATAAAGGAGGCACTATAAACTTAAGACTACTATATTAAAAATAGTACTATTATAACTATTATTATAGATTATAAGAGCTTATAATATTTATTAATAATAAAGATATACTTTAAGAGACTTATATAATAGATTAATAAGTTTAATAGATATAATTTAAAGATTTACTACTAAAAAGAGACTAAAGTAATTATTCTTAATATTATTAGTTACTAATTTAACTTTATTAAAGATAGGCCTAAGGATAAGGTAGAAGATATAATTTAATAAAAGTAGTAATAAATATTTATAGCCTCCTTATTAGTACTTTAAGGCTACTTAGAGGAGGAGTAGCTAAAAGATATAATAATATATTTAATAATAAGTAAAGCACCCGCACATTAGGGTCTTTAATATATAATTAAAAAGATAACTCTTAACTTCTATCTAATAAGAGAGAATAATAATAAGCTAAAGTATATTTATAATAACTATAAAGTATTATATCTTTTAGTTCCTTTTTATATAGACTTTATTAAGTAAATATATAATAAATTTAGATATTTTAAATACCTAGGACTTATAGGCGTCATTTAGCCTTAAGGATAGAGGCTAATAATATAGGCTAATATTAAATAATATATCTAAGACTACCCTATATATTAGGTATTATAAGGCTTATAGGAGGACCTTTAATATAGATATCTTAACCTACTAATAATAGCCCTACTATTTAAGAGATGGGCTATTAACCTAATTAGGCCCCTACCACTAACTCCTAATAGTAATTAATAGATTATTATAGTAATTAAGTATATAATAGATTAGCTAATAGCTTATATAGTCCTAGAAGGCATAATAGAGGTGATTACTAAATTCCTATATAATAAAGTCTTTATAAATTATAGCGCCCCTTATAAGCTCTTATTAGATAATAGACCTAATTTACTTATAGTAGTAGTCTAATACTATCTAAAGATCTTATAAATAAGATACTAGATAATAACACTATATTACCTATAGATAAATAATAAGGTTAAGAACCTTAATGGCCTCCTGGGTTAAATACTTATAAAGTATATTATAGGAAAATTAATAAAGATCTAGGATAAATACCTTCTATAGGCCCTCTTTATTATATATATATAGACCTATATAGTAATAAGAAAAAGCCCCTTCTACCTCCTATATAGTATTAACCCCTATATCCTAGGTGATAATAATAAGGGACTAGTGAATGATAACCTTATAGAGGCAGAGGAACAGCTTTAATAGGTTAACTATATCTAATTACTAATAAATAAGCTACTATTAAACTATATAATAAAGATAAAGATAATATATAATAGCCTAGTGTCATGGCGACGGCGAGGTCGTTTGTATGCCTTAGGCAGGTCGTGGTGAATAGGGCCGCTATTCCTATTTTAGCTTAGTGCGGGAAAGGGGAGAGGGATATTAGATGTGCCTCATGACGCACCTCTCCCTCCTCTCCTCTTTCCCCTCCTTATTTAAATATTTTAGTATTAAAGCCACTAATTAATTATTTATTTACTTAGGGCCATTATATAATATTTAAATTAACTAATCTTAATTCCTATATAATTAATAGCAGTTGAATAATACTCTGATCACCTAGTGATTCTATTATTATATTTAACTACTAGATTGTGTTAATAATAAAAATATAGTGAGACTAAATAATAACCCCTAAGTATCATCTAGACGTCATGAGACCCTTAATAAAACTAAGGATATAATAATAAAAGAACAGTTCTTTAGTCTTTATATAGATAATCTAGATATGCTGTAAGATATAATATCACACCTAATGACTAAAAGTAACTAATAATTAGTAAATAAGAAGCTTTATACTGAAGCTGAGGCCATATTAGCCCTAAAGAATAATAAATAGTTAAAAAAAACCTAGTTGCAACTAAAGGAAGTATAGGCTAGACTTATAGTTATAGAGAATAAATATATAGAATTTATATTAACTTTTATATATAGTGCTACTAGTAATGCTACCTTAATTAATAAAACCTTTAAACCTTATAATTCCTATAGACCTAAGTGCTCTACTAAACTATCTAACCCCCTAATACTAACTAATAATAAGGATCCTAGATTTAATAATTAGCTAATATTAATAAAGCAGAAGCTGCACGCTAATAAAGATTATTATAATACTAAAGAACTTTATATTACCTATATATTTAATTATATAGATAAAAAGGCCTATAAATATATGGCTCCTAGACTCTAGGACAACATAAAGAACCCCTATAATATAGCTAGTAATATCCTTAATCATCTAGAGACTATTTATAAGGATCTAAACTAGGTCACTAATACTAAAGTATTATTTCATTATCTATTCTAGAAATAGGAGAAATTTTATAATTTCCTTTTTAACTTTATGCACCTAGCTATAGAGGCAGAAGTTAATAAAAATAATCTTTAAAATAAGCTTTATTATAAATTAAGCCACTATATATAAGAACTCACTATTCTTAAAATTAATAAGAATAGATTCTTTAAGGAGTTCACTAAATACTACTCTAAAATAGCAAATTAATTAGAGATTATAAATAATAATATAAACTATAGTAAAGGTAAAAGGAGAGAAACTATGCCCACTAGTTTAAATATAAGTAATAAGGTATTAATCTCTACTACTAAATATACTACCTTATAGAAGCTAAATACTTATAACTCTCCCTATCTTACTATTAATCTAGCTATTAGGAAGTAGAGGGAGGACCATAATACTTACTTTATATATAGCTTAATAAAATATAAAGCTAGGGCTTACCTTAAATAAAAGACTATTAACTTAAAGCTGGCTAAGCTTAAGGAACTAGAGGCTAAAGAGGAATCTATAAAGCTAATAAAAGACTTAGCCTAGAGAAAGTCTCCTCTCTAGATAAAGTAGAAGTAGATATAGGAGAATTAGATCTATTTAAATTAATTAGTAGATAACCCTTTACTATAACTAGTCAGTTATTATATAATAGATATAGTATACTAATTACTATATTAGTAGATATAGGAGTGAGAGGAAGTATTTTTATTAATATATAAAGAATAAAGGATGCAGCTTAGTTCTTTAATATCCTCTTATATCCCTTATTAAAACTAGTGGGCATTAAAGGATTTAACAGCTGGCCTAGGACCCTAATCACTTATATTATTATCTTACATCTATAGGTAGATAAATAATAATTTTTAAATAAACTAATGCTTATCACTAACTTAGGGCATTATAATATTATTATTAGTAAGACCTAGATAGTAAAATAAGACGCCTAATTAGACTATTAGAATAACTGGCTTATATAGCTAAAATAGAGCCTAACACTAAATAAAGAACTTTAAGAGAAATAGTCTATAATATTACTTAAAATAATATTATAGTAAAAGAGTGAATTAATAGTAGAAAAGGAATTTTAAGAGGACACGATTTATTATAATAAGAAGCTAATAATAAAGATAAGAGTAGAATAATATTAATAAAGGAATTAGACTTATTACTAACTACCCTAGATAAAGGCTATCTACTATTATAATAATCTAGTTAAGATAAAGTAGGAGCTAAAGAAAAGTGTCATTAATAAAAAGGATTAAGTCCTAGAAAGGAAGGACTCCCTAAGATATAATAACCTAATAATAATTAATATTACTATTATTAGGGCACTGGCGTTCTATTAGTATATAAAGAAGAAGGATTTAGAGATCTTTATCACTAGCCTAATAAAGATTAAGTAAATTATTAAGGAAAAATAATAGGATTAATAGAACTCCTAGACCTAGGGAGTAGTACTTACTAATATAAAATAATTAGATAAGAACCTATCCTAACTTATTTTAAAGGAGTATTATAATTTCTTAAATATCTTTTCTAAAAAGAAGTTAGACGACCTGCCACCCTATTAGAAAAGATATAATTATAAGATCTAATTAGAACTTAATATATCTATAGAGGAGGCCATCAGATATAGTCCCTTATATAAGTAATCCCTTAAGGAATTAAAGGCGGCCTACTAATATATAATAGAAAATCTAAGTAAAGAATTTATTAGCTATACTAATTTACCTTATGCCTCACCTATCCTAATAATAAGAAAGATAGATAGAGGTTTATAGTTCTATATAGATTATTAGAAGCTAAATTTAATTATAAAGAAGGATAGATATCCCTTACTCCTAATTAATAAACTACTTAAGTAACTAAATAGAGCTTAAGTATTTATAAAGCTTAATATATAATAAGGATTTTATTATATATATCTAGATCTAGAGGCTAAAGATCTAACTACTTTTAGAACTTACTATAGCATTTTTAAGTATAAGATTATATCTTTTAGGTTAATAAATAGTCCTGCCACCTTCTAGTAATTTATTAATAGTATATTTATAGACTGTTTAGATAAGTTTATAATAATATATATAAATAATCTACTTATCTATAGTAAAAATAAGGCTAAATACTAAGAATATATTAAAGAGGTTCTAAAATGCCTATAAGAGGCAGGATTATAAGTAAGTATTAAAAAATATAAGTTTAATATTTAAAGAACCAAGTATTTAGGATTTATTATTATTACCTAAGGGATTAAAGTAGACCCTGCAAAAACTAATATGATCTGCAACTAGAATTATCTAATAATAGTGAGATCTATATAATTATTCCTTAGGTTCTATAACTTCTATTAGAGGTTTATTAGGAACTATAGCTATATAGCATAACTATTAATAGCCCTAACTAAGAAAGACCTTCTATTTAACTAGAATAAGGACTATAAATAGGCATTTAAGGAGCTAAAATAATGACTAATAGAGGTACCTATTCTAGACTACTATAATCTAAAGCTCCCTATTAGAATTAAAATAGATATATTAGACAATATAGTGGCTAGAGTGCTATTATAAAGATTTAAAGAAGATAAACTCTAGTATTCTATTATATTCTTCTTAAAGATAATATTGCCACTGGAACACAATTATAAGATCTATAATAAGAAATTATTAATAATTATTTAGGCCCTAGGAGAATAAAGAGTGGAGTTAAAAGGACTATAAAGAGATAAACACTTTAATATACTCTTAGATTATAAGGTATTAAAGTACTTTATAATAAAGCAATAGTTAAATATATAGTAGGCACATTAGTTAAAGTTACTCTCTTAATTTTACTTTATTATTTATTATTAACTAGGGAAGGAAAATATGCTGGCAGATGCCCTAATAAGAAAGAAACTAAAAAGAGAGGAGAATTATTATCTTTAAATACTATTAGCTATAAAGGTGCTTAATAAATAAATCTAGATAGAACTTAAGCTCCTTAAAAGTAGGAGTTTTAAGTTAATAACTTATATAATACTAGATAGTATAGTATTAGATAATAATAATTTAGATAACCTAATGACTGACTACTTAATCTTTAATAATAAAGTATTAAATAGATTATTAGTATTAGATAAAGATAATAATAGAATAATTTAAATAGCTCCCCTAGACCAGGACATCTATATTCTAGATAGGCTACTCTAAGAGAACCACATGGCGACCTCTCTATAGACATAATATAAGAAGGCCAAAATAGGAGAGGCACTATAAATAATATAGGAGAGACTACTCTTATATTAAGATAAATTAATAGTTCTAGAGGAGGGCGACTTAAGAGCATAATTATTAAATAAGATTTACTAATAGCCATTAACTGCCCACCCTAGATAAAATAAGATAAAAAAACTCCTATAGGACTGATATTACTAGCTTAGTTAAAAAAGTAATATAGACTAATATATTAAGAACTACCTTATCTATTATTATTTAGAGAATCCTAAAGACTAGATACTAGGGCTCCTATAACCCCTACTTATCCTAGAACAATTATAATAATATATCTTAATAGACTATTAATCTTTTTTAAAAGATAACAACTTAAAGGATGCTGCCTTAGTGGTTATAGATAAATTAAATAAAAAGATTATCTTAATCCCCTACTTTAAGATAAATGGCGCAAAGGAATAGGTAGAGCTATTTATTAAATATATATATTAATATTATAAAGCCTTTAATTTTATAATATTTAATAGAGATCCTTAATTTATTATTAAGTTCTAATAAGAGTTCTATCATATCCTAGGGGTAAAGCTAAAGCTGTTAATAGCTCACTATATATAGATAAATAGTTAGATAAAGATTATAAATTAATATATTACCTAATAACTATATCCCTTTATTAACTACTATTAATTAAATTAGTTAAAGCTCTTACTATTACTTGACTATGCAGCTGCTATCTTACCTTATAAGTTAATAAAAGTATTACTATTCCTAATAAATTAAGGTTACCTACTAAGAACCTCATTCAACTAGAGAGATTAAAATAAGGATGAAGACTCACCCCTAATATTAAGGATAAAGATAAAATAATAGGAGGTAGAGAAAAAAGCTAAACAGCTATAAAAGGTATAGAAATTTATAAGGAAGAATATAAGAGAAACCTAGGAATACTAAAGAACCTAGGCAAATAAATATAGGAGGCAGATTAACTTTAATACTAGTAATAAGGCCTTTTTTATAATAAAGAGCTATAAAATAGATAGACTAAATAAGAAGTTAGATTACTAAATATTAGGTCCCTTTTTTATTAAAAAAAGAGAGGGCAACACCTTCTATCTAAAACTCCTTAACTTAATAAAAATCTATCTAGTTATATCCCCTAATAAGCTGTAAAAGGCGCCAGATAATCCCCTATTAGGACAGATTATTAACCTATAGAAACTATTAATAATAAATAGCCAGGAAGAGTAAGAACTGGATAGTATATAAATAGTATATAATTATTATAGTAGACTATAGTACTAGGTTAATTAATTAGGATATAATTTAAATAATAAATAATATCTAGCTAAGAATTTTATAAGAAGCCTATATCTTCTAAAGGAGTTCTATAAGATGCATCCTGCTAAATTAGGCCTATTAAAAGGCCTAGAGAAATAGCTAGCAGCCTAGGACACAGGCGAGGACCTAAAGAAGGATAGTAATAATAAGATATTAATTAAAAGTATAAAAAGAGGTAGGCCTATAAAAAGAAAAGAATTAGTAGATAAGTAACCTTCTATAAATAATATCTAGATAGAGCGGCCGTCCTATTATTCTTAGAATATTATAAGATGAATTCCCCTTAGGAATAGAGGGGTCTAAGTAAAGTAAAGTCTTAAGTAATAGGCTATAGTGTAGAATAGGGTATTAAAAGAGCTATAGTGCCCTCATTGGCGTAAGAGCATTAAATATAGATTTATAAGAGAATTAAAGGCTAAATAGGGGGGTAATATTATGGCGACGGCGAGGTTATTTATATATCTTAGGTAGGTCATAGTGAATAGGGCTGCTATTCCTATTTTAGTTTAGTGTGAGAAAGGAGAGAGGGATATTAGATGCGCCTTACAACACACCTCTCCCTCCTCTCCTCTTTCCCCTCCTCATTCAAATATTTTAGTATTGAAGCCACCAATTGATTATTCATTTGCTTAGGGCCGTCACACCTAGTAATAAAAATAGGCTTTAAAAAAGGTGACTAGGTGTTAGTTAGAAATAAATCACTAAAGAAGCTAGAGAGTAAGTGGTTTAGTCTATATAGAGTACTAAAAATATATCCTCTAGATATATATGCCCTTAAAGAACCTAATGGATAAGTACTATAAAACTTAATTAATAGTTAGTAATTAATCACTATTAAGATAGATAAATTAAGTTAGCTATAAATATTAGTAGTAATATAATAAGTACTATATTAATAGGGTATTATACTTTAGTACTTAATTAAAATAAGGAAAATCCTAGAGGAATAAGAACTACTACCGCCCTTTTATAAAGAGTTATTAATAATTATAAAAAAAGAGTAAGTAGTAGTAGAGAGATAATAAATAATAGAGTATTTAAAAGAATACTTAAGAATAGGGGGGAGAGAGGTTAATAAAGATATTAATAATAATATTATTATAAAGTATATAATTAAAAAGGCTTAATAGAAGGTATAATAAAAAAAATAAAACCCCCTAATAAAGATAGTAACCTAATAATAAAGGGACTAATAGAGGATAATATTAATCTCCTTAGAAAGCATCTCTAAATAGGAGGCATCTAAGAAAATAACATTTAATAATAATATATCTAAAGATAACTATAGTAATAGAAATAATTAAAAGACTAACCCTAGACTATAGGATACTAATGCCTAGAATAGTATTAACTTTAATAAATTATTTATAGTAGTTATCTAATTAATTATAAGATAAGGTAAGAAGGTGAGAATAATAGAAAAAGGCCTATATCTAATTATATAAATAAGAGATAAAGAGATCATCCCTTAAAGAGTACTAAAAGATACTAAGAAGGAATTTATTATAGAGTTTACTAAAGAAAAGAGACTAGCTATAAAGAGCTAATAATAATACCCTAAGATATAGATACTAATTACTTCTTATAATAATACTTCTTTATATATAGAAGATACTCTCTCTATAGATCCTCCTCCTCCTCTTTCTCTATAGTAGTAGTAGTAACTAATATATCCTTATAAGCCTTAAGGGTGGCCACTTATTAATATATATTAGTAATAGCCTAATAAATCTTTAGTAAATTATTAATATTAGCATTTAATAAGGGGAATAAAATAATAAGGGAGGTATTATTATAATTAATAAATTAAAAGAAACTATTAATTAAACTCTTTTAATAAGTATTTATAGTCTCCCTAATCTTCTAACCTATAAAGTTAAAATAATAAACTAGGAACTCCCTAAAACGACGCGCCATATCCTTATAGAAAATAGTTAAATACTAGAGTAATACCTTTAGGGGAGTAGAACCTAAAATAGTTTAATAAGGAGTTAATTAAGCCCCCTCTATAGCTAGGATAATAAGAGCACTTAATTATAAGCTAGCTAAAGTAATATTAGCACTAATAGTAAATAATAAGTTTAATAAGGCTAAAAGAATAGTAGAAAGTATAATAATTAATATTAGATTAGTAGTAGAAGTAATAAAAGTAATAAGAGTAATAAAAGTAGTAAATAATAAAGTTTTCTTCTTCTTAACCTTTTTTCTCTTCTACTACTTCTTATACTTATTTTTCTTTTCTTATTCTTTATTACTATTATAGTTAACACCTATAATATATTAGTAATTAATAATAAAAAGACCTAGGAGAAATAAATATAAGTTATAATTAATACTTTTATTATAAAAAAGATAGTTTATATATACTTTAATATAGTAAACTTAATACTTATCTCTATTAAGCTCCTTAATAAGAGGCATAATATAGATAGTCTAAAGACTATTATTATAAATATATTTTAAATAAGGGTTAGCTACTATAGATCTCTACTTAAAAATAATAATAATAAAGAGCTTTAATATATAGTTTAGGACTAATACCTAACTACTTTAAGAGAAGTCTTAATATATATAAATAGTAA